CTGAGGACAAGGTCAGCATTCAACCATACAAGAAAACTTCTTTTTCCACATACATTACATAAACTCATGACCAGGTAAAATTTGCGCATTAAAATGCTCGACCAAAGGCATAATGTGTTCTAAGTGTGTTTACCATACCCTGAGTGGTGTAGGGCAGCAGCACCCAAGTTGCCCTAGGGTAAAAAAAAGCCTAGAAGGCAATAAAGAGCCTTTGAGAGAATAATTCCTACACCCACTTTACATCTCAATTTCAGCATAGGAAAACTGCCTAGGAATAGTAGGTCAAAATACCTTCAAAGTGAAGTTATTGAGTCAGAGGCACTGTGCTGTGCAACACTGTTAAAACAACAGCATTTCTATCTGATGATGAGTGTATACCATCAGTGTGGGGATTGTCAGTTGCTTGAGGCAGGCTCTTACAACAAGAGAAAGGCACATGTGGGTCCCAGGACTGTGGGGGGAGTGGCTAGCCCTTGTAATGCTTGGGGTGCTAAGAGACAGTGTCAATACTCACATCCAGTAGTAATGTGCACTTTTTCCAAACAGAATATTTTAGATAGAGAGGCACTGTGGTGAAATACCCTGTACTATTATGTTACTACAATGCCTTTAACATATCGCATTCAGTTTAGCAGCAAAATGCCAGCACGGTCATAATCTGCCAGAGCTGGAGAACATAAAGTAACAGCAACAATTTAATAACACACCACATCTTGTGCTTAACTGGACTGTTTTCTTGAAGTTGAGAGTAGCATCCCTGGCAAACAAGAGTGAAACTTTGGCAGTGTACATGTTAACACCATTTTATGTCACCAATTTCCACTGCTCCATAACACCCTCACCAAATAAACTGCTGGGTTAATGGCATCCATATAAATTTTCGGTTCATTCCCAATATCAGCATGGTGACACAAAAATCTGCAACATGTTTCACAAAGGCTTGAGTGGTGAGGGTCAGAGTGTCTCAAGTGTAACTACTGATCTTTTTTAATAGTAAATAGAAAATATCCTGTACAGTAGAAACACTACTAGGGTTAGGATCTGTCTTTTAAAAAGATTGTATTATCTACAGTATTCACACTCCAGTGCACATGATTATGTACAGGCATTTTGGTAACCAACTAATGCATGCACATACACACAAGGTGTTTCAACAACACACTATGACAGTGTGTATATATGAACACACAATTATCGAGGAATTTGAAAGTTCCTCATTTCGCTGTTGCTGTGGAACTGGCGAATAAATAGGTCTTGAGCAATGATCATTTTGATGTTTACATTGATTCAAAAGATAGTCTGGACATACCCGATTTCTTACAGGGAATGAGCAGTGCTCTTTGTTATTTTAATGTCATTGATATAGCTCACATTATTCATAAATACTTTTAGCAATTTATTTTACTATCTACATTTTTTTTTTGTTTTTTTTTCATTTTTCTTACTGTGGTAGCTTTGGGCCCCAGAGAGATTCATCCTCTCGAGGCAGAACACGGATTTCAGGTAAAAATTCTTTTCCAGACTCCTATTGTAGGATAAATTGTTTTCAAGCTCCTATTATAGGATATATACACAGTATGCTCGCTCTATTTCCTCACTTTTACAACCAGCATGCCTCGTTCTGTCTTTATCTTTATGCCATTTCCATCACAGGAAACAGTAGAAATATCTCTGCTGTCATGTCATGGCTCAGCTATAACTTATGCCTTATCTTCAGTCACAGAAAATGTACATCTGATACACAGTTGTCACACTTTGTCACTATAATCAAGTGACGTTAAATCCCTCATCTCTGCTGGTACTCGGCAAGAGGTTTAACAAGGCCTTCTGAGTACACTCGCTGAATGGCTTCGCATACAAATCTGTATTGACTCTGCAAAGAGGGAAGAAAATAAACATTAATCCCTGTTTTGTAACTAAAAATATAAAACATTTTATCTATATAGAAAAAAAAATAATAATAATGATTATAAAAGTAATAATAATAATAGTAATAATCTACAACTAAGACAGTCACAATGAAAAAAATATAAATCCTATCCACATTAAATAATAAAACATTTCAGACAAGAGAACATCATTCACTCACAGAAAAAAAAGTCACCAATACTCACAGCTGTCTGGATCATCATTGCACGCTGATCCCTCATAGCTCTAACTACATCTAGTGGATAAACTGGCTCGTTGGCCTCAATCAAGCACTGTGCAGTCTCCATCAAGATGAGCACACCGGTCCTCCCAATGCCTGCTGAGCAGTGTACGATCGTGGGTTCAACCATACCTGCAAAGGGTAGTTAAATTTAGTATAACTGGACAAATACTAATATTTCAAAGTATATTCACAAGTACAGTAAACCAAAGGTATTGGAGAAAAAAAGAGAGATTGCATTGAACAAAGAAAATGCAAATGCTACTATATATGCCTAAATTCCATAAACAAGTTTCTAATATCCACATCTTTTATTCTACAACATATTCTTGATTATTATTATATATATTTTTTAAGAAGCATCTATATCTATATTATCCAACTCTTAGTAGCCAATATCGAAATTCAAAGCTCAGAAATTTCTGTCAATAACATAGTAGTAGATGATAAAACTCCCTTGTCCATTTTAATAAAGAATAACATAAAATGGCCAGCTGGATCTACACATGATTCTGAAACTTCTGTGCCCAGGATTTTTTTCACCTAATTATATAGGACAGTTATAGATGAACAAACAAAGAATAAAAAAGTTAAGAAACAAATTATAGGATAGGAAATTGACAGGAGTAGGTTAATGTAAAAACTCATGAAATTCATTCTCATAGTTTGCCAGTTCTGATGCATTTGCATATTCTCATTTCATTTCAGGTTAAGAGACATCAAGGATGTAAATGAGGTGGTATGTTTCAATTATTCAAAGCATTAGTGTTCAGTCAACCTAATTATCTTCACCAACTTACTAGTAAAACAGAAAAAAATATTCATATCTCATACTTAAGTACAACAAAATTTCTTAAATAACCAATGAAAATACAGGAAGAGTAAAAAGAATATTTCAATATATAAAAAAGATATAACATATAGAATAAGTGACACTGAAAATCACTTATCAAGTACTTATCACTTATCAAAGCAGTTAAAATTATACTCTAGGAGAATTTTAAGCAGTTGTAAAAGACTTTTATCTATAATCCAAAATGATCTCGTTTGACATTTTTATCTCTCACCTGCTCTAGCTTGGCGAACTTGGGTTACAAAGTGGAGGAATTCTGTTGAGTCGTCAGGGACACCATGGTCCGGCCATGCCAGGTACTGCATGTGGGTGATGTGTCGCTCATCCTGAGTCTGAAATAGCGATGTGGACTAGTGTTTAGTCAAATCACTCAAAAGCCCTAACATTTCATGAGTGAAAGTGACACAAACATAAAGCTATACTAAAGTGGGAAACACATATCCATCATCCTTAATAGAATTTTTTATTAAAATGTATAATTCTGCTTGAACAGCACAGAGTTACATATGACATTAAAGTATAAACACTGATGTAATGGCAATAGCAAAATTATGTGAAGAAACAGAAAAACTGTAAGGAAGAAACACGAAAACAAAACAAGGGCTTTTACACACCTCTGTGTTGATGAGAGTAAATTCTCTAAACGCAAAACCTGGCGTCTCCTCCTCCTTCAGACAAGTGACCTGGAGAGTCCCAAACTCGACAGTCTCATTCAAGCGAGGCCAGTATCGGTGACATTTTACTCTGGAAGAGAGGGCATAACAACATGAATAATCACCTATGAATAAGATAAGTTTATTGACCTACTGACTCTTATTTGAGCATTCTCCCTTTGTGTTGGGTATTCTGCTATTTACTCTACCCTAAAAATTAATTCTCTTTCTTTAAATGAATAAGTTTTATGCATTCATCCTTTCATCCAGTCAGTCTTAGGCTTTAGATAAATTTTCCTAACTCTCACATCAAGAAGATTCTCAGAAAGAAGAGTGAATAATATATCAAGAAAATATACAGATACTTATCACGATAAACAAAAGACCCTCTCCTCTCACCTGCCCTGTTCGACAACTGTGGTTAACATCACTATTAGAGTTGACTGCTGTTCCCACACCATTTCCCAGAAGTCGGTACAGGTGCCTGCTAGAGGACCCTGGCAGGCTATGTAGCGGTTGATGATCCCTGACCCCTGGATCTCCATGTTCACATAGGAGGCATTGATGTAGTCCCCAGAGACTGCACTTGTGAGGATGACTCGCGTTGTGTCATCTGCAAGGAGAGATCTGGTTCAAATTCTCGGTTCATAAAATAAGATTTACAAATAATATCAAGTTACATCACAATCCAGTGCCAGTATTCCAAATCGTATTATATCCTTAAAAAGACACCAGTCAACAAATTCCATCCAGAGGGGAAAATTAAACATCCGACGGGCCGACGGCCAGCCCCCTAGGAAGGCCTACTGTGTCCGGTATCTGTTCTTCTTCTCGTTCTCTTGTCGCCGCGCCTCGTTGACCGTGAGTCCCGGCTTGCGGCGGTACAGCTGCTCGAACTGCGCCACCAGCGACCCGGCCTCCAGGCCCTCGGCAAGCAGCAGCATGGACTCGTGCAAGGGGGCAGTCTGGTTGCCAGACACGGTAACGCTCGCGGGAAGGGCTTCGGGGACATACCGGAACGCGGGCTCCTCCTCGAGCTCCTCCGCAAGGTACACTGTTCGCAAAAGAGATGAAGGGGTTGAGATCGCTGTCTTTCGACAGAAGAAGCAACGTGTGGACGCGTATGGAGCGTAGCAGAGCCGTAGGGAGAGGGAACCCCTGTTACACAATTATGGATTGCCACAATGAATGATAAAACCAGTGAATAAAAATGATTCACTGAAAAGAAATGTGCCGACATTTTTTAAAACAAGTCTGGATTTAGTGTTCTATACGTTTATCTACTGTATATATCTAAGTGAAAACCAAACATCATTAAAAGATTCATGTTTGTAGTCAGTCAGCT